TCAACACCACCTTGAACTCTCTCTTACACGCCATCATCCTTCCATACATCGTCCTTGCTTTTGAGTGCTTGAGACTAGATATCCACGACATCAACTACACACATTAGACAGTTGTGTTGTTCTCACGTTTAATACTTTTTATACCCTTTTGATTTATTCACATCACAACCGCCCAAAATGGCTGCCAACAACATGAACAACCCCGCCGTGGATCCCGCTCTCGAGGACGAGCTTTTCGCCAAGGAGGTCGAGGAGGTCAAGAAGTGGTGGAGCGACTCGCGCTGGAGGCACACCAAGCGCCCTTTCACCGCTGAGCAGATCGTCTCCAAGCGTGGAAACCTCAAGATCGAGTATGCCAGCAACGCCCAGGCCAAGAAGCTCTGGAAGATCCTCGAGGACCGCTTCGCTGTTAGTAACCACCGCACGACAAGCCATTGGAAGACTTGAGGGGAACAATCTCACTGACAATCTCACTCTGAACAACAGAAGCGTGATGCCTCTTACACATACGGCTGCTTGGAGCCTACCATGGTGACCCAGATGGCCAAGTACCTCGATACCGTCTACGTTTCCGGCTGGCAATCATCCTCGACCGCCTCCTCTTCTGACGAGCCCGGCCCCGATCTTGCTGACTACCCCTACGTGAGTTTCTCAGTGAGAACAAAGCCATTGAGTCATGTCATACTAACACCAAAATCCAGACCACCGTCCCCAACAAGGTTGGCCACCTCTTCATGGCCCAGCTCTTCCACGACCGCAAGCAGCGCCAGGAGCGTCTCTCCGTCCCCAAGGCCCAGCGCGAGAAGCTCAACAACTACGACTACCTCCGCCCCATCGTTGCCGATGCCGATACCGGCCACGGTGGTCTTACCGCCGTCATGAAGCTCACCAAGCTCTTCATTGAGAAGGGTGCTGCCGGTATTCACATTGAGGACCAGGCCCCTGGTACCAAGAAGTGCGGCCACATGGCCGGCAAGGTCCTCGTTCCCATCCAGGAGCACATCAACCGCCTCGTTGCCATCCGTGCTCAGGCCGATATCATGGGCTCCGACCTCCTCTGCATTGCCCGTACCGATGCCGAGGCCGCCACCCTTATCACCACCACCATCGATCCCCGCGACCACGCTTTCATCCTCGGATGCACCAACCCCGACCTTGAGCCCCTCGCTGAGCTCATGATGAAGGCCGAGGCCGAGGGCAAGAACGGCGCTCAGCTCCAGGCCATTGAGGACGACTGGCTCGCCAAGGCCAACCTCAAGCGCTTCGACGAGGCCGTCCTTGACGTCATCGCCAAGGGCAACTTCTCCAACGCCAAGGACCTCGCCGCCAAGTACCAGGCCGCCGTCAAGGGCAAGCAGATTTCCAACCGTGAGGCTCGCGCCATCGCCCGCCAGCTCCTCGGCCAGGAGATCTTCTTCGACTGGGACTCTCCCCGTACCCGTGAGGGTTACTACCGCCTCAAGGGTGGCTGCGACTGCTCCATCAACCGCGCCATCTCCTACGCCCCCTACTGCGACGCCATCTGGATGGAGTCCAAGCTCCCCGACTACGCTCAGGCCGAGGAGTTTGCCAAGGGCGTCCACGCCGTCTGGCCCGAGCAGAAGCTCGCCTACAACCTCTCTCCTTCCTTCAACTGGAAGGCCGCCATGCCCCGCGACGAGCAGGAGACCTACATCCGCCGCCTCGCCAAGCTCGGCTACTGCTGGCAGTTCATCACCCTCGCCGGTCTTCACACCACCGCGCTCATCTCCGACCAGTTCGCCAAGGCGTACAGCAAGATCGGCATGCGCGCCTACGGCGAGCTCGTCCAGGAGCCCGAGATCGAGACGGGCGTCGATGTCGTCAAGCACCAGAAGTGGTCGGGCGCCACGTACGTGGATGAGCTGCAGAAGATGGTCACCGGCGGTATCTCCTCCACGGCGGCCATGGGCAAGGGTGTCACTGAGGATCAGTTCAAATAGATGTTTTGACTGATGTGATGATGGTGTAATGACTTTTGGGGCTTTTCACATTATGGGAGTTTAAACTTTTTCTTTTTGGCGGTCTACTTTTTCTCTTTTTTTCTGGATATCAAACAGGACATGACAGGACAAACGGATCGCATATTGGGTAGGAGTGAAAAAATAAAACTTTCTGCCGCTCTATCTGTTAATCCCTTATGATGAACTTTGATGGTGATGACCTTTGCTTATGTCGCTCTGAATTCTCTTTGGATGAACTAGAACTCTTGACGAAATCTCGCCTCTTGATCAGCAAACCCTCCCGGTGACAAACTCCGGTGCTCGACAAGAACATCCATCTCGATGAGACACTCCCAAAATTTTCATCAATCGTCATAGAAAAAGACGATCACTAACCACGTGAAACTCAAAATTTGACATTCTTCCCCAAAATCCAATTCCCCATGTTCTTGGCATCCCCGCGTTTGGGTGACTTTTGTCCCCTTCGCTTTCCCAGATCTTTTCATTGGATGAAGAAGGGGACCAGGGGTGTACGAGAGAGACCATCACCAAAAGGGGAACGATGGTCAACGTTCCTTTGAGACACAAGCCTCGGCTGCTTTCACGAGCCTAGAACAACGCCCAAACGAAACAGATGCACATGGGCAAGCCACTGAGGAGGTGCTCTGCACCACTTGGGGCTGAGCTAACATCTAGCTTAGCTCGGACACTCATCGTGAACAACACTTTCTCATGAACTACTCACCCTCAAGTTGAAGAAGGTTGGGTTCACTCATCAAAACAACCAAAATGGAACCCTCAAGCGCAAACACGGGTTTCATCCAACAACAACCCATCATCAAGAACCAGTTCCACGATGATGTCTCTCTCCAACGGATATCCAAACGTTTGTCTTCCCCCACCCCCTTCCCACATCCCTCCCTCACTTCCTCCTCTCACTCATCGGCCCATCTAATATTCCATAACAGTATACCTCCCTCCATCTCTGCTAGAGAAAGTCACCCCCGAAATCTCCTCCTTCGGCGCCTCCGTCCTCCAGCCTCAAATCTTCACCTGGATCACCGACTCCGAACTCAACAAACCCTACCTGTTGGGTTCCGGCCGCGACGCCTTCGGCCGTCCTGCTGCCTCCCAGTCCCTCATCGTAACCGAAGGCTGGCGCAAGCTCCAAGAATTCGGTTTCGCCAACGGCGTCGTTGCCTCCAACTACGACCCTTCCTCCTCCTCATCTCATGGCGAATACTCGAGACTAGTCCAGTTCATCCGGTGCCACCTCTGGGAAGCCTCATGCGCCAACACCTTGTGTCCGGCAGCGATGCAGGATGGTGCTGCCCGGTTACTTCAAAGACACCTCACCACCCCGAAACTGGTGGCCCAGCTGGGGGAGGAACAAAAAAGGGTGTTTGAGAATGCGTACGCCCACTTGACGTCAAGAGACCCGGCGTATACGTGGACGTCGGGGCAGTGGATGACTGAGCGCACTGGCGGGTCGGATGTCAGTCAGACGGAGACCGTGGCTACTTATGCCCCCTTCCCATCGGGTCAACCCGTGCCATTGGCAAGCAAGGAAGAAAACATCCCCCTTGGTCCCTGGTCAATCACGGGGTTTAAATGGTTTTCTTCGGCGACCGACAGCCAGATGACCATCCTCCTTGCCAAGACTCGTCCCGGACTTGGTGTGAGTGCGTTTATGGCTCCCATGAGGCGGTGGAATCCAGATATTGTTTGCCCTACTACTGGCCAGAAAGGGGGGACAGAACTGAATGGTGTCACCATCTCTCGACTGAAAAACAAATTTGGAACTGTCGGACTACCGACTGCTGAACTGGAATTGAAAGGGATGAGGGGTTGGTTAATCGGCAAAGAAGGGGAAGGGATCAAGGAGATTTCTACCATCCTAAACATCACGCGGGTTCACACTACGGTATCGTCCATGGGATATCTGGGCCGTGGTATTGGGGTTGCCAAAGCCTACGCTCTGGTTCGTGAAGCCGGAGTGGGCAAGGGCCGTCGTCTCCCCCTGTATCGCCATCCTCTGCACATGCGCACCCTCGCCAACTTGACATCTGAATATCACGGCCTGATGCTTCTAACCTTCTACACGCTCTACATCCTCGGTCTGGACGAACATCCCTCCCCCTCTGCTGCCACCCAAAAGCCTAACCACCCCCTCACCCCTCCCAGCAAATTAGTAGCACCCCTCCTCCGCACCCTCTCCTCCCTCCACAAATCCTTCATCTGCCACTCCACCGTCCCCTTATCCTTCGCCTGCATGGAATCCCTAGGCGGCGTTGGGTACTTGATCAACTCCGAGTCCGAACACCTCAACCTCTCGCGCATTTTTAGGGATGCCTGCGTCGGAGCTATTTGGGAGGGTACCACCGATGTTTTAGCCGGGGACACCGTTCGCGCACTTAAACATCCAGCGGTTGGGAAGGAGGGGGTTCAGGCACTGGACTGGTTTGTGCGGACTGGGTTGGGGGAACAGGCTGGGGAGGAGAGGGAGAGAATCAAGAAGGTGTGGGAGGGGTTGGGGAGACGGTTGGAGAAACAAAAGCAGGAGGATTTACTGCCCGAGGCGAGGGGGCTCACGCACAGGTTGGCGGAGGTGTTGATTGCGGTTTTGTGGATTGTTGATGCGAGGGTTAGACCGGGAAGGGAGGTGGAGGGGATGAAAGGGAGGTGGATGGGGAAGCATGGGTTTGGACTTTTGTCTGATGATAATACTACAGAGACAAAGGTTGAGGGCGATGGAGGGCTGGAACTGGATTTGGCGATTGTTTATGGGGAGGGAGGACCGAAGGGGGTTGTTGAGGGGAGTGTACCGGGGGTTTCGAAGCTTTGAAGGTCGTTTTTGGACTTTTATTGGCGTTGGTTTCTTCTTTCTTTCTTGGTTCGCCTCGATCAGTCATGATGATGGGTACTGAGAGCGGGATGGTCTCGCCATACTCATTATCATCGCAGCAGACATGGCACGATGGATGTTATAAGAAAACGTGACAAACACGGGGGAAAAAAAGAAAAAAAAAAGTGCTGGCATGCCACCGCCGTGAATCGAACCACAGACTTGTTCGTCCCCTGGCCGCCTGTTCTCAGGATCGTTGGTTCTGTAACGCGTCCCGTGATACCATTACACCACGGGGGCTAATGTTTGCCAGCTAGTTTGGGTGATAGACTGCATCGGGAAAGGGGATTAAATACCGTATTTGACGGTTGTTTTGCAACTACCTGATATTCTAGTCCGTACTCTTCTGCCGCCGTCGTCGGGTGCGTATGTACTACTTTGCCTACCCGATGTCGTGGATCGTCACATCCATCGCGTACCCTGTGGTAGAGGTGTATGTAAGGCATCAGTAGTTCATCCTGTTGAATCTGACGCTGCCATACCTACCGAGCTCAACCTGAATCCAGCTACGAACCTCAATAGATGGGCGACCGTCACACAAGACCAAACAACAAAGTGTGAGCATCATGCCGATACATTATCTCAGCCGCGAGGAAAATCAGAACCAAGATCATAACCGAATCAAATCCCAAGTAAGAAACATCAAACTAGCTACGTGAAGTTATCAAGACATCAAAAAGGAATGACCAAACGAAGCTAAGATCAAGAAAGCCACCCATACACGCCGCTACCTTATCCAGACAAAAACCCTAGAGAATATCCCAAAGAGATCCTATACAAAACCTTATACCACCCACCATTCCGTTCAGATCGTTTCTTTTCCTGTTGTGTGTTTGTTGTGTTATGTCGTTTCCGTTTCATGTACCATTTCCGTTTCGAATCGTGTCTTCCTCCATCTCAGAGTGTCTGCCTGTTGGCTTCCTCCTCTAAACCAACTCAACTCAAACTTCATCCTTTTCGCCTCACCCCATCCTCCACGCTCGTCATCGTCAGCAACACCCATCACCCACCCTCAGTAAAACATCTACTTCCTCAACACCGCATCGTACACACCAGCAACCCCCGTCACCGCCGCCCCAACCAACACGCCCTTCCACCCACTATACAACGCCCCATTAATCCTCGCCACCGCATCCGCATCCAACCACCCCTTGAACGTAACACCCTGGGCATACACCACATACGTAATCAACGCCTTAACAATCGAGAACGTAACCGGATCAACCGCATACTCCGGTTCTCCCCGTTTAGCCACCAACTCCCTACTCTGTCTCCTCGTCGTCACCCCTTGAGTGGAGAAAGTATTCGAATGCGCCACTGACAGATTAAAGAAATACCCAAACAACGAAGGCAGGACCAGACTAGTCATTGTCCACACCAAAGCTGGGATCCAAAATCCGGAGGTGACGAGGGCGAACATGTCCGGGACGTAAACGGGGTATTCATCCCATCCCAAAATGCCACCGAGGAGTTTGACGGCGGGGATGGTGAATGCGTATCTGTCGGGGATGATTTCTTTGCGGAGGAAGTAAAGCTCGAAGGCGGCGACGGCTACGGCGACGCTGTTGACGGTTGACAAGGTCTCGCGGACGGATTCCGTCTTTTCATGGATGCCGGATTTGTCGTACAGGTCTGAGACGCGGTTGCGCACGGCGAGGGTGCTGGACTCGACGACTTGGGCGAGTTCTGCCTGAGAGGCGGGCAGGCGCAAGGTGGAGGAGGAGAAGGTTTGGTTGAGTTGGGAGAGGGCGTGGCCTGGGTTTTGCACGTTTTGGACGGCGGTTTGGGCCGTGGAGACGAGCGCTTCTTGGGTTACTTGGGCGGCGGCTGACAAGACCTCGGCTGGCGCGGGAGCTTGCTTGGTCTCGGGTTCGGGAGAGGGGGAGGTGGTGGATGGGATTGAGTCGGACCTGGGGGAGTGTTTGTTAGTCTGCTGTTCCATCTCTTATGGAAAGAGACTATAGACTTACTCCTCAATAGTAGCAGTAGGAATCTCAACCTCAACCTTGTTGGTAGCCCTCCGCCTGGGAGCTCGGTTGGGGGTCACATCGCTTTCGCGCTTGATGGGTGACTGGCGAGCGCGGCTGTTGAAGTAGGAAGTGAAGCGCGAGTCGGAGGAGAAACGGTTCGCGTTCTGGGAAAGGAAGTTGTCGAGTTGTTGTTCGATATCGTTCTTCTTCAGGCCATCAAGGCTGTGTATCTCTTGTTAGTATAACTCCGATGAAAGGCATTGTGTATGAGCGTCCGAAGGAGATCGGCGCAAGCAGTGACTGGAGATTCCCCAAACGGGATGGAATGTCAACAAAGGAAAGTCAGGTACGCGAGGCGGGATGCGGCACGCCAGGCGCGCGGGGAGCTTTCCGGCCCTTGTCTGTCCTGCCCGTTCCTGCGGAGGTACAGCAGCAGCTCCGACAACGCAAGGGCGTCGTTGAACCGGACGCTATCATCATCAAGACATATTCTGCTCGCTTGAGCCTCGACACAAGCTTCCTTAAGCTTAGTCCATAGGCTAAACCCGTGGGAGAGTATATAACGGAGGAAGAAGACCTCACTTGCACGAAGTGGGCGCGCGCGCGTGAGGCGCAAAGCGCAGTATCAAAAAGTAAACAAAACAAACCCCATTGTCATGACCCATCACTAACACCTCATCCATGGCAAGATCAGACTCGAAGGAATCGTACATACCCAGTAAGACCAATATCCCTCGCCAACTCAACCAGATCCGACTTGCGCTGCCTCGTCAGCCAGCTGTTGGTGGTGCCCGACATGTTTGCTTTGTTTCTTGTGTAGTGGTGACAACTCGGGTCGCAGCCGTGATACTTTTGGTTACTACAAGTAAGTAATGCTTGGTATCAAAATGATCGCCTTGATTGTGCGAGTACGTGTGTTTGGGTATTGATAATGCGCTCTGTTGTGGTAGCAAGTGTATAGGTTGAAAATAGTGATCACGATAATGTTGTTGTTTTGGGTAAGATACCTGAGCTTGGGGGAAGTGGAAGGTGAAGCTGTGCAGGGTGCGGGTGGGTGGTGAGCATCAGAGCTCTGGCAGTGGGCAGCGGGCAGCGGGCGGGAGCCCTGTCGGTAGTGACGTGTGTTGGATGGATCCCCTGTAATAAACTGGAGCTAACCGACCTGAGCTGACTGCTGAGGAAAAGCGCACGGGCCTCATCTGAGACCACGGTACCACGAGTGCCGGCTGAACACCAGATTGGAAGACGGAAATGAAACATTGTGCAACGTGTATATGGTGATCACCTGCCTTGTTGCCCATTTTATGCGTGATAGTGCGAGTTATCACTTCCTCAACGCGTCCGCGTTTCATCGCCAACTGGAAATCTTCAGCTTCGACACTCACCAGAAAAATGCCAAGAAATGGACTCTCGGTCGACAAGTGGGCCAACGGGCGGGCGGGAAAGAGTGGAGAGCGGGGAAACTTCCCAACGACTTTGTTGGGCCGCGAAGGGATCCTTGACTCCTCACATAACCCTCAACCCTTCGTGCCTCTCAACCCTCATCATTTTGATGAATATCTTCAACGAGTTCATGTTGACATCTTGTCACGTCGACGGCGTTAATTTCCAAACAGTTATGGATTACATTGATACAAGCTACACTACGACAGATCAAGAGGAAAAGACCTTTAACATCATCTACCATACCATTCAACATGTCCAATATCCCTCCTCAGATCTTGCCACCAAGCTCATCTAAGGCCAGCTCTCATCAACACCACCCTCCTACAGCCCGTGGAAGTGCACTCTCATCTGGCTTATGCTTAGGACAATGGAGAGGTACCCTTTCCCCCTGGGATTCATAAAAGAAACTCGACACCGTGAACTCATGGCCCTGCCTGTCAGGACCGAAACGACAAGTCCGCTTCACATTGAACTCGTCCAGCTGCGGTAGACACTCGTCGCACCAACGATATGAAGGGTAGCCCAAATGCTGCCATGCTCTCGTCCTTCTCACGCCCGCCGCCGCCGGTGTTCGGAACAACATTTTCCCACACAACTTGTTCGAGCAGCAGACTGATCCTGCGTCAGGGTAGGGACGCGTGGCTTTGGAGCTGCCCCTAACCTTCTGCAAAAGGTCCAAAGGCATTCTGTAATCACTGAACTGCATGTGTCTAGACCCGGCCAGGTCCAGCAACGTCTTCCCGTTGGTCTTAAGCCCGAGCCGTCGGCAAACATGGTTGCACTCGTGAAAGGCGAAAAAGAACATGAACCCTTCTCGCCCCAGGTTGGTCTCGGACAGCGAGAACCGACCCGAGTCGGCCGTGTGGACAGCCGGGTCCGTCATCATCCCGCCCACTCCCTGGAGGTCGCAGACGAGAAATTGGCCACGCGATCGCTCGAACGTAAAGTGCGAGAAGGCCTGCGCCGCCTGGTTGGACGGGTTGTCGACGAGCCCGGGGTCCTTATTGACATAGCCCGAGTTGCCGTTATACTTGACGAATTTGCCGTCCAGAAACGGTTCGATGGCCATGCACTCCGTGTCGCCGCCACTACCACCGCTGTTGCCGTTCTTGAAGAAGGCCGAGACAAGAAAGTCGATTGCGTACTCTGGACTGTCTCCCAGGAGCAGGTTGAACTCCAGAGCAAAAGCCTTGCACAGGGCCTGAGACCGCATGTCCTGGGCTAATCGACCAAGGCCACGGTGGCACGACGAGTGCTGACCCTTGCGCTTGAAGGTCTTGACCACGTAGCGGCTTGTCGACGCTTCGGTGCGCGCAAACGAGGCGAGCCTCAAAGCACCCTTGGCAAAGGGCGTCTTGCGCACCCGGAGCTTCACTTCCAGAACGGCCGTGGTGCAATTGCTGTCGGATTTTATCAACGAGTCCAGTAAATGCGCGTGGCTTGAATATTCATTGCCCTGCGCCTGGTTGAAGGTGGCCCCGATCGAGAATCCTTCTGCACTGATAGATTCATCAAACCACTGCAAGTTGTACCATTGTGCTGGCCCTGCTTCCAACTTGGTTTTGGAGGCCATTGAAGCACTTTCATCTTCCAGAACTGGTGGGAGACCAAAGCTGCCCACTGCCCTACTGCCGTTGAAGTTCGAAAACCTTGCGCTTCCATTGCTCTCGCGGGAGAAGAGAGTGCGCGTAGCAGTGCTTACAACAGAAGAAGTGACCGAGTCGACCACGAGCTTTTGCAGTGCGCTGTACGAGATCCCCAGCTCATCTTCGCGGAACAGCAAGCCACCCGTCGGAACGCTGCTTCTCTTGACGGGGCCGCCGA